TCCATCCATCCATCCATCCTTCCTTCCATCCATCCTTCCATCCATCCTTCCATCCATCCATCCATCCATCCTTCCATCCATCCATCCTTCCATCCATCCAGCCATTCTTCCATCCATCCATCCTTCCTTCAAGCCATCCATCAATCCATCCATCCATCCATCCATCCATAAATCATCTTGTTCTGGACTCAGGTCTCGGGGCAGCATCTTGAGCAGGGAGGTCCAGACCTCTCTCTCCTCAGCCTCTTCAGCTCTTCTGGGAGGACCCCAAGGTGTTCCCAGACCAACAGAGAGACATAGTCTCTCCAGCGTGTCCTGGGTCTCCTCCCAGTCGGACATGCTTGAAGCACCTCCTTAGGGAGGAACACAAGGAGCATCTTTACCAGATGAACCACCTCAACTGTCTCCTCTGGATGTGGAGGAGCTGTGGTTCTACTCCGAGTCTCTCCTGATAACTGAACTTCTCACCCTGTCTCTGAGGGAGAGTCCAGCTACCCTGCAGAGGAAACTCATTTCAACCTCCTGGATCCACGATTTCATTCTTTCAGTCTCTACCCAGAGTTCATGACGAGAGGTGAGGGGAGGAACGTAGACTGAATGGTAGATAGAGAGCTTTGTCTTACAGCTCAGCTCCCTCTTCACCACAATGGACCGGCACAGAGTCCACAATACTGGAGATGCTGCACCAGTTTGTCCGTCAGTCTCACGCTCCATTCTTCCCTCACTCATGAACAAAACCCAGAGATACTTGAACTCCTCCACTTGAGGCAGAACCTCACCCTCGACCTGAAGAGAACCATCAGACTGAGGACCACGGCCTCAGACTCGAAGGTGCTGGTTCTCATCCCAGCCGCTTCACATTCGGCTGTGAACCACTCCAGTGAGAGCTGGAGATCACGGCACGATGACGCAAACAGGACCACATCATCTGCAAAGAGCAGAGATGAATCCTGAGGCCACCGAACCCTCCACCCCTGGCTGCACCGAGAAGTTCTGCCCGTAAAAGTTTTGAACAGAATCAGTGACAACGAGCAGCTGGTGGAGTCCAACTTACTGCTGGCAATGTGAACTCTCACAACACTTGTATAAGAACTGAACAGCCTGTTTTTTAGATCATCTTAACTAAACTAAGAGCTTTAGTTAAGATGATCCAAAAACTTTCACATGTTCATTCTCGGTTGTTCATTGTTTCATTAATTCATTGTTTCATTAATTCATTGTTTCATTAATT